GGCAGAAATTCTGAATCACCCAAGGAAGTTTAGCCGTGAAAAGTGTTCTGGGGAAGTATGTCAGTTGCCTCGCCACCAGGCACCACTTTGCCAACAGAAGATGGCCGATTTACCAGAAGATCGCGTGCTGGCCGAGAAGCCACCTTTTACATCAGTGGGCGTGGATTATTTTGGCCCATTCCAAGTCCATCGAGGGCGGAGTCTCGTGAAGAGGTATGGCGTAATCTTCACATGTCTAGCAATCCCTGCCGTGCACCTTGAAATTGCACATGGCCTAGGTACGGACTCGTTCCTATTGGCTTTGCGACGTTTCATTGCAAGAACAGGCCAAGTGAAGCAGATCTACTCGGATAACGGGTCAAATGTAATTGGTGGTGAGAAGGAGCTGCGTGACGCTATTTCAGATTGGAATCAGGAAAAGATACACAATTCCCTGTTCCAAAAGGACATCAAAATTAATGGTACTTCAACCCTCCCTATGGTTCCCACTTTGGAGGTATTTGGGAGAGATGCGTCCAAACCATTCGGAAGATTCTACAAGCGCTGCTGCGAGAGCAAACTATGGATGACGAGAGCCTGGCCACTTTAATGTGTGAAGTGAAGAGTATCATGAACGGCCTACCCATTACCACCGTATCCAGCGATCCAAACGACAATTAGCCCTTGACGCATAACCACTTGTTGTTGCTCAAATTGGAAGACTCCTTACCCCCCGGTCTATTTTAAGAGAGAAGATTCTCTGTCGTTTCGTCGATAGAAGCAAGTACAATATTTAGCGGACACCTTCTGGAAGAGATGGAGTAGGGAATACTTTCCCCTTTTGCAACTTAAACAAAAATGGGTGCACCCAAAGAGGAACTTGGCTGTTGGTGATATTGTTCTGGTCGCATCTGAGTCCCATCGCAATTCCTGGTCGCTTGGCAGAGTTGTTGAAACCTTCCCCGACTAAAGAGGTTTTGTTCGCCGCGTAAAAGTGTTCAACAAAACAGCTGTCTACGAAAGACCCATCGACAAGCTCTGTCTTTTGGTTGAAAACGAATGTCCTGAGAACACTAAAAACTGAGAAACATCTAGTTGATTTGTACTGAGCCTTCAATTAGCCTTGTTCACTAAGTAGACTTCATGGAGTGCACTGATACTTAAAGTTTAGCAGTAGTTTATTGTAACTCATTAGATGTAAGTGACTCACTTAGTACAATCTCGCACTTAGGGGCCGGGATGTAGAATTTAGCATTCTTTGCATTTTATTTTAATTAGCATTCCCTTGGGAATACGTTTTGTTTTTGTTTCCCATGTTCGCTATAATTTACATGTTGTTAATATTCTAGCTTTTTAGTTTCATTGTTGATTTCACTGAGAGAACATCTGGTTTTGAGTTGCCTTTTTTCACGGCCTACAGCACCGATACAATGTAAGTTCCCAGTTATTATGTTCATGGCATTCCCTTTAGCCGCCTTTCAGTTTTATATTTTTGCATTTGTAAACTTGTATTTTTGTTGGTTCTTCATTAGTTCAAACCTCTTCCTCTGATCGAGCGTTTGAAATCATTGTTGTAAGTGGCCACGAAAGGACACGCCGTTTGGCAGTAACAATAAGGTGATCAGGAAAATATGGATGCGGTAGTTATACATGATGTAATAGGGTAAGAAAGGGTAAAAAAACTGATGTGGCAGCAATGCATGGTGTATTAGGGTAACAAGGGGTAAAAAAATTGATGTGACAGCAATGCATGGTGTAATAAGGTGATAAGGAAAATGGATGTGGCAGCAATAGATGGTGTAATAAGGTAACAAGGATTTAAAAAATGTAGGTGGTAGCAATACACGGTGTAATAAAGTAATAAGGAAAACAATGAATGTGACAGCAATACAAGATGTAATAAGGTAATAAGGAAAAAATGTATGTATTAGCAATAAATGGTGTAACAAGGGTAAAAAAAATGTGTGTGGCAGCAATAAATGATGTAATGAGGTAATAAGATAAAAAATCCTGTGGCAGCAATACTTGATGTAATAAGGTAACAATGGGTAAAACATGTGTGTGGCAGCAATACATAGTGTAATTAGGTAATAACGAAAGAATGAAGTAGAAGCAATACAAGGTGTAATAAGGTACTAACGTTATAAGGAAAAAATTAACGCATTGGTAGCAACAAATGTTGTTATAAGGAGAAAAAATGCATGTGGAAGCAATACAAAATGCACAACGGTAATAATGAGGGGAAAAAGTGATTTTAAGCATTGAGCCATGTTAGTGACAGCTTTCTTCCACAAAAGCTCTTTGTAGAATGTGTGCCAAGTAATCAGACATTTGAGTTAATTTATGAAAAAGAAGTCATCTGATAACAATCTTGTTTACTTTGTCCCTAATTCATTGAGAAAATAATAGTCATCTATTACAGAGCCTTCTCATTGCAATTTTGAAGTAGTAACTATTCAATTAATCAACATGTTGTTTTGACAGAAAATGACACAAATGCATGCCTGTAGATCGCTATTGCTATCCCACTCTATGTATTGCTGCCACATACGGTTATTTTTCCCTCTCACCTTATTACACCATGTATTGCTGTCACATTCATTTTTTCCTCATCACCTTATTACACCATGTATTGCTGCCACATACATTTTTACAATACCTTATCACATTATTACACCATGTGTTGTTGCCATGCACATTTTACTCCATCTTACCTTATTACCTAAGTACTCCATATCTTGCTGCCACATTTATTTTTTCCTTATTACCTTATTACACCATGTATTGCTGCCACATATTTTTTCGTTATCCTTTTTACCTTATTACACCATGTACTGCTACCACAACAATTTTTACCTTATTGTTTTCATAACTAATGCCCTGCTAGACTAGTACAACTCATGGAAGAGTTATATTCTATACTGTTCAGGCATAGTATAGAAAAAACAATAAAGGGTTTTTATTGTGAGCATGGTATAGACTTGATATATTTTCAACCTTAAGGGGTGTATATATGTTGTAGTTCAATTTTATACTTGGTTCAAATTTCTTTTCCTTTGTTCTCAGTCACGTTAATGTATGATAATGAGTCTGAAACAAAGGAAAATAAAATTTGAACCAAGGATAAAATTGAACTACAACATTAACACACTGATCTTTTACATATTGATATTTACATAGTCACCATACTGATGAGAGGTAAACCGCCGGCCACTAGAAAAGTAAACAAAGGGCCAGTCACTAAAACAACCTCTTGCTTTGACACCTATAAAAATTCCCTGGTTCCTCATTTTAGCGTATGATAATATGACACTGACAGCTTGCAGTGAGAAGATTGAAGGCTTGAAATTTTAAGAATGATTGTGGTCTGGACGCTTTGTTAAAAGCAAAATATACTGGTCAAGGAACGGCAAGGAATATGACACAATTTTGCAAATGACCATGAAAGATGATGGAGGAAAAGTAATTGCATTTTGGGTCTTCACTTTTAGTTACACTGTACATCACTTTCAAAGAGCTTTGACTCAGTTACAGATGTGCTGACTGCGATGAGTATCAGTCAGAACTCCCTCAAAGAAAAGTGAAGTTATATTTCAGCATTGCAGCATTACTTTGGAAAGCTGACCGAGGCATTTCACTATAATTGCAAAAGGTTCATATCAATTCATCTGCCATTGACAGACCAATTTTATTTACATCTGAGTGAGTAACAAATTTGCATATTCTGACCCCGAACAATGGTCATTCCACACTTCATGTATCCACAACTAAAAATGGATGAGGCAGCAATACATAAAGTAAAAGGTAATAGGGAGAAATGAAAAGTGTGTGGCAGCAATACATGGTGTAATATGGATATAAGGTAACAAGGAAAAAACGTGTATGTGGAAGCAATACCTGGTGAAATAACTAAAAGGTAACAAGGAAAAAAATAGACTGTCAAAGACTGCATGTGGCTATTGGTATAGTACAACTTTTGTTTCATTGCAAAGAAGAGGGATTAGTACAATGAAGAAAACAGAAACCTGTCACATCCCATATAATTATATTAGTACCCTGTTCCACAAGAGAAAGATAATTAAAGAATACACTGTATATTGTCCAATTGACACTCAACCAATAATTGAAATGGTAACAAATAATATTTACTATGACAATAATGGTAACAATAGTTATATTATTATAATTTAAAGGGATTAGCGCAAAAGCCTCATGGTTCCCCTATCTCTGGACTCCAAAAATGATTCCCTATGCATCTCTTAATTTCGCCTGTTAATTGGAAATAATTTTTTTCATATTATTGCCATTCCATTTTTTGAGACTTTTTTATTAGCATGTTCCATGATTCTGCATGTTGGCTCATCCATTTGGCTCATCCACTGTTCCTCTGTTCCATCATTCTGTTGAATGACTCAAGGCATTGTATTTTGCAGCCTGCTAACTTTGCAAACTTAGCGGCCCTTTTTGGCCAAAGTTGCTGATTCAAACAGTAAAATGCTCTCTTTTCGATGAAAAAAATTTCCTTCAAAGCTTACATGATGTGCAGGTCATGTCTATTAAGATTATTATTTCTGCAGGAAAAAGGGCCCATTCACCCTGGAGGGAATTCAGATATGTTCCAAATTTTTGGCAATCTAAAAATTGGCAAAGTCTTTGAACTGACCAAATTTTGGCAGTGCTTACATCAAATTAAATCCTTCAACCAAAACTTCACTGACTGATTCATACACCAATCACAAACCCATCTCATTCTAAAAGAAATAGAAAGAATTGTCACACGAATTGTTAAAGCGGAATGGATCCCTTTTTCCAGCTGATCTTTTGCATTTTGGTTGACTCTTGTGCTAGCTTCAATACTTGCAATGAAAGGAGAATTTCTTACACCTAATTACACCATGAATTGCTACCACATACTCTTTTCCTTATTTCCTAATGACCTTATTACATCACGTATTGCTGCCATGCACATACATTTTAAAGTTATTTTTCATAACTCCAATTTAGCCTAAAGAGTGGTATGCTCCTTGCACCAATCAGACTGCTGCATTTGGATGTGTATCATGTACCGATCAGAATGCCACATTAGGGTAGGTATCAAGCACCAATGAGATTGGTGCACATGTTATGTATCAATCACATTGCTGCATTTAAGGGTATGTATCATCCACCAATCAAATCACAGAATTGGGGCATGTTTGTACCAATCAGAGCATTAGGGTACTGACCCTCATGTCAAACTTGTCACAATTAGTGTGTTGAGGCGTGCTTCGATGCAACTAACCCAACTTTGACAGACACTGCGAATGAAATTGACAAGCTCATCTACCCAGTGTAATGGTTCCCATCCTTTGTGAGGACTATGGTGGGTTTTGTGTCCCAAATCATCTCTTACAACACAAATCGCATCAGCAAAAGGCCCATTATGAAGTTATCACTGGAGCATTTGTTTTGGGAGGGCTAATTTGATAGACTCTGATAGAATTTGCTCAAAGCATTTGCCTAAAGCATACTTGATTGATAATCTTGTCTTTGCCATTTGGTTGCTCATTTGGCCAAAGGCAAAAAGATCATCAAGTTATATAACTAAAGGTACTTTCTATGTCAACTGCTGTTTCTTTGCTTTTAGAAGTTCTATTTGAGTTTGAGTTTTTTAAAAACTGTATTTTCAAAACTACTTGTTCACTTGTCATTACAGAGTACGCTTTCCCTGATAAAACTGCATTATCGGGTAAACAGCCTAAATTTTTCGACATAATCCTAACCCACAAAATTTCGTATAAAGTTAAATGCCTTTGTTAATAGATTTTCCATGCAACTCTCACATGCTTTGATATTTTCTACCAATCAAATTTGCCTTACCGTACCTTGAACTTTACCCCATCATGCATCATTTCCATGCATTTTGTCACATGTTCCACATGCAAGGGGCAAAGTCCAGATAGACAACAGCCCACCTGTTGTAATGCCCATATGAAAGCCTTTAAAATATGATCCTCTTCTCTTTGTTCAATGTATTTTCATTCAAAAAAACAGAAACTGTGAAATATCTTGAGTGAAGGTCTCCTGGAGAAAATATGGTTTGCTCTCTACATTAAAATTGAAAATGCTCGTGCCAAAGCACCAATGATGAAAGCCTTGAAGCATGCTTGCAAAGTTTCATTTGCATCTGTTGTTTGGTCTCATTGTATCACTAGGATTGGGAGAGAGCCTACTGTGTGATGAGACCCAGCAATGGCTGCAAAGCTGGAGATTGCATTAAGCATGGCACCTACACAGTTAGGTTCTGCTTTCCTTTGGGTCTGTCTTTTTTTTTTCAGTTAAATTGAAATGTCTTTTTACCCTCTATCAATCTGTGTTTTCATTGGAAATTCTGAAAATGAATGCTCTTTTCTTCTACAAAATTAAAAAAAAATTAGTAGCTCCAAGTGTCCCACCTCAACCCATCCATCCAAAAAAGAACTCTTAATTGTATGTGTAGCATGCCTGTTTTTTTCCTTATTACCATATTAAACCATGTACTGCTTCCTTCCCCACACAAGTCCAGCTGTAGGTGAAAAACTTATGGTCACAGCACTTAATTTTCAATTTTTTTGGTGTTTCAACATCATTAAAAAGTCAGTTTGTAATAGTCCATTATAATAAAATTATATGGTTCATGTGTGACCGTGTGTATGCCTGTAAGACTTGAGACAAATGCCAACTTGTCAGAAATTGGAAAACAACCAAGCACGAAATATAGAGATGAAAAAAGTAAGAATGTGTTCCTGGGTTCGATTTTTTTATCTTTTGGAAATTGATGGAGATACTGATTAGTTCTACTTCTTGAGAAGGTATAATTATTTGAATAGTTTCACTCGATGGCTGCTGTTGGTTCCTGAAATCTTTCTTCGGCCTGTACTTCTGTCTTACTTCAAAACAGGAGTTTCTCTCAATTATTCGATTATAGTAAATTTAAGTTTCTTTTTTGTGTCACAAGAGAAATCCACTACTGAAATTTTGGTCATGTCCTTAAAGTTTTCTCTTATCCCTTTGTTGAAACGTAGATTTTGATAAATCGTAAATTTTAGTAAGACCGGAAGCCTAAAGCTGCCCCTGACTGAACTACCATTGGCCGCCTTAAAAAAAACTTGAAAGAGGAACCCATACGAGAATAATTGCGAGGGTAAAACCCACGGTCGCCTTATTTGCCTAAAACACTTCCACTTCAGGAAACGACAACTGATGACAGTTGAATCTGTCATTCAGGACATTTGAAATTTAGAAACTCTTTACTCTAATTTGAATCTCAGTCTGTCCTTAGGTTAGGCGATCGATAGGCGTGTTTCATTCGAATATATCAAGCAGTGTTCAGAGGAAAGGGGCTCGTCCTTCAAAACTTTTCTGAACCCTATTGAGGAGTGAGATAGGAGGTTCCACTGTGTGTCGGAAATGTAATGAACATTCGTGAAATGAAGCCCAATCTTAAAGTCCCTACGACGCCTATTTTTTAGCATAAAATTATAAAAATAGAAGCATGTAGAGGGTGTCTGGTAAGATTTCTGAGTGATTCTGATGCGTCTTTGTTAGTTTACGAGGCGATAAAAGTCAGAAATTGTAGCGAACTTAGGCTTTCCGTATCTCTTTGGCCGTGTTGAAGAGTACTGGTACCTACATACTCGTGACATCATGGTAGTAAGTCCAAGTTTATCAAAGAAGCTTAGTGGTCTTGGAATCTATATTGCTTACGATCTTTTAAGCAAAAAAATAGATAAAATGCTGTTTTGATGTGTAGTTTGGTGTTGTTCAAATACACCTGACTCGAAGAAGAATATTGCGCTCCACGAGATTCCTTTCGAGGGCGATCAAGGGCCAGAGGTGAAAGGTGAAAGGTGAAAGTGGTGGATTCAGTTTGTGAGCGTAGTGTGCTAACTGGACACCGACTTCGAATTCACGCATTCATTCAATACTGTAATTATTTGCTTATAAGCCAATCCTGGCTACAAGCTGAGACCCAAAACTTTTAGCTTTCAGAAGCTGTGGGATTTTTATGAGAAATAAGCCGTAAGTGGACACCGACTTCGAATTCGCGCACATGTTCAGAACTGCAAACATTTCCCTACAAGCCAATCCCGTCTATAAGCCAAGACCAAAACTTTTGTTCAAATATTATAAAGAGGTCCAAGCAAATTGTTAACTAAGACGAATGGTGAGCTTAAAATGGATAGAAATGAGCACATCTATCTATTCAATAGCCAATCAGTTCTCGTGTTAGTTCTACCTTTCTTTGTGAATCGTCTAGTTACATGCAGCGATAATGTTTCATGAATTTCTTCGGGATTAGCCTTTTCAGCTTTGGGCATCAATGAGAGTGCAACAATGATTCGTCATTTAAAATTTATCTTTGTATGGATTTCACTCATACATCAACTCACAGGTATCACAGTTAACCTGCATTTGTTCTGATATTTTCAGTGTCTACTTTCTTCTTTTGTATCAGCTGAGCTCGGTTCATTCAGAGTTAGTAAGAGGGGAACTATAATGCTACATACGGATTAATTTCATATTGACAGCAACAGATTGTTGAACCTTTAAGAATGTGTACGGTGTTTCAATTCAAAATCAGAGGAAAGCTATTCTTGTTTTTTATGAGATCGAAAGCCTAAATTGTTGTGTTATAACTGAGATCTAACATATTTTCCTTCAGATGGCGGAAGTATCACATGGTATGAACCTGCACCGGTTGAGACAACATCGAATCCAGCTGAAGTGCTCCCACCTGTCGTTGTATTGGTTTATGAAGGGTCTTCTGCCACACTGAAGTGGAACTACAGTTTGACGTTAGGTCTAGCTTTTGGTAACATAAGATTCCACAATGATGGCATAGTCAACATTCAATCAAATGGTTCAGCTGGTCCTGTCAGTGTTAATTTTCAGAAACGGTTCAGCGTAAGCTCAACTCCAGGAGGAATTTCTCTGTCTATCTCTCCAGTGACTGATGCTGACGATATGGCTAATGGGGAATTTAGCTGCAATTTAATTGATGGTAATTCTGATACTTGGAAAAGAGCAATTCAAGTGGAAGTCCTAGGTAAGATTAGAAGTATTGCTGACTTTTAATTAGAGGCACCCCTTCACTGTAGAATATTATCCACAGATGTCATTTTTGGCTTAGTTAAATTTAGTGTTAGAGTTTGACTCAGTGCATAAAACTTCAATAATCCTTTCGAGGAATCCATTTAATTCTTTGCATGGACTCCATGTTACTTATATTAGTGCTGTGCATGACAAATCTAATCCTAACTAAAGGTAGTTTGCAATGGCTCTGACAAAGGAGCTCTAACGCTCGAAACGTCAACATTTTTATTTGTTACGGTGGCCAATTTAGAATTTCAACTTAGTTTGTATAACCAAATTACCTTGTTACCCCCACCAACACAGCACCACAATTTCTTTAGAAACTTTCGGCCTTTTTTCAATAGCACACTTTACTGTTGTATTGTTGCCAATTTATGTCCAATGCTACTTGAGGTCTGCAAAGAGAAAAAAGATCTCTTGTGGAAGTAAGGAAAATTCAGTAAAGAAAATGGCTCAAAAATTAGGATACACCTCAAGATAAATGAAAATAAAGAGATACCTCTTTAGAAGATAAAGATATCAAAAATTCCCTCACAGTAATTACATGTATTGATGTGATAACATTGTGACAAAACAATTAATAATATAAACTGTGGTGTTATACAAGGATTTGTAGCCATGAGAAAAAATTCATGTGCAACAACATGCAAAAATATTTTTTTATTTTTCATGTGTTTTAAGTTGCTAATCAGCTGCTGAGAGGAATTTTGCCTTTTGCACCACTCTGTCATGTGGATGAATGAATGGCAAAGCCTTCACCATTCTCGATTCAAGGGTGTGTCAAAATTTTTCAGATTATGGCAGATAAAACACAGAAAGATTTGTAGCAATTTCAGACAATGACAAAAATTTCCACAAGGGAAAGAAAAGAAAAATGGAAAATTACATACACAGTGGCTTTGGTTGGGGCATTTCTCGCAGTTGAGAACAAAAATTGAGAACTGGAAGATTTGCCAATTGTGTCTATTTTGGCAGTTTTCCTGAAAAGGTTTCTTCTGTTGGTAAGGAAAAAGTCCATAACTGAGAATTTTTGTGAATTGCCATTTGTTTGTTTTTTTTTTTGCCTCAGCCTGAACACACTTCACAAAATATTTTTATTGGGGTGTTGTCAAACTGTTTTTTTTTTTTTTGCACTCATCACAATCAATTAGGTTAACTTTTCTTTTTAATAAAGGGCTATTTAATGTAGTTAGTACTTGTGGGAATGAAGTGCTAACAATAAGCACATTTCCAAACTTGGTAGAAATTTTTTAGTAATTTTCCACATTTTGAAGACTTAAGATTTCTAAGTCCAGTTTCAATCATTAAATTAAATTGTGTCATTACTTTAAGTTGGGATAAGGTAGAAACTTGAATCCTAATTATTAAGTTATAATTTCCAGAGATGTTTGAATTTGATAGAGGCTTTTGGTCCTAAGTGGAATAATATACCACAGCCTTACAACTTGTGCCTAAAATCTATGCTAGATTAAGTTACAACAATCACCTTATTTGATTGTGTAAATTCCAACCTAATTCTGAGTTCAGAATTAAGCTTGATCCAAAGGAGGATGTGTAAATCTTGCCTGATATGCCAGGCAGGATACACAAATCCTGTCAACAACTAAGTTTCCAAGTAAGATATGAATCCTTGCTCAGATCTCAGGTGGGATGAGCACATCCCAGGTGGGTCAATATCTGGCATAAGATCCCTGGTGGGATGTAGACATCCTGCCAAGGATTTCAGTTGGGCATGAAATTCTATGGCGCACTGAAGCGGACATAAATACTTGTGTATGGATATATAAGACTTGTTTTGTAAAATATATGACTTGTTGCAAAAATATAAAACTTGTTTTGTAAAATATACGACTTGTTGCAGAAATATAAGACCCGTTTTGTAAAATATACCACTCATTACAAAAATATAGGACTTGTTTTGTAAAATATAAGACTTGATGCAGATAAGACTTGTTCGCGGTGAAAAATACTTTAATACTTTAAGGGTGCCACTGTCTGTAGTCAGATACTTTGCAGCAGGGTGCATACTGATTTCTGTTGGTAGTTGTCTGCCTGCAATGACGAGTGCGATGATAAGTTGAACAGAGTTATTCTTCAGTTTTTCAACTGCTTCTTTATCTGCCACAAACAAGTTTCGTCTGATGTCCTCGCAAATTTGTTGTCAAGTTCTAACACTCCAAGAAAAGCTCCTAACTCATCTGCCATCTTTTTTGAGGTTTGAGGAGGGGTGGGCTGTGTTCCACTTACTACTGAACACTCAAATCGCTGCTGCTGTTAAAGTATTATCTTTATACAGAGTTGTATATTTTACAAAAAGAGTGTTATATTTCTGCAACAAGTCTTATATTTTACAAATTAAACAAGTTTTATAGTTTCACAATAAATCATATAATTCACAAAACTAGTCTTATATTTTTGCAATGAGTAGTATATTTTACAAAACAAGTCTTATATTTCCACAACAATGTGTATATTTTACAAATTAAACAAGTTTTATATTTTCGCAACAAGTTGTATATTTTACAAATTAAACAAGCCATATATCCATACAAAAGTATTTTTATCCACTTTGGCGTGCCATAAAATTCTACTCAAAATCCTGGTTAGGATGTGAAAATCCTACCATGGATCCTGAGTGGGATGTGCATTAATTCTGTCAAGAGTCTTGAGTTGTATGATTGTGTATATGCTGTATTCAAGCCAGGATCCTAGGTGAGGTAAATTTTTGATTCCTGGGTGGTGGGATCACACCAATCCCACCAGGGATCCCAGGTGGGATGTGAAAATTCTGCATTTTAGGTGAGATCCCAGGTGGGATTATCTTTATGTGGGAAATGCAGTCGGGATCCCAGGTCAACCTTTTACCTAGGTGTCAGCGTTATTTCAAAATTAAGATCATTACCATCTCAACCTAGGATGAAATAAGGGCAGCTGCAATCTAAATAAAATTGAATCAGACCTGATTGTTAGAAACACCCATTGTAAAGCTCAGGGTCCTATGCTAGAGGTGTTATTGCTTCCACTCTGTGCTTATAATTTAACATGCTTTTCAATTGTTAGGTCTTGAAGTTTACTTGTGTTTGTTTGATTGCACTTAGATCCAGCAAAAATTACAGGAATTAAAGGTGCACAGACTGTTCATGAAGGCAGCAACTTGCAGTTAACTTGCGAAGCCTTGGGTAAACCAGAGCCAAACATCACCTGGGTGAAACAAATGGCAGAGAACCGAGGAAATACTGGTGTGCTGCAAGAAGGAAAGGTGCTGACTATAACAAAAATCAGCAGGACTGATTCAGGAACATTCAACTGTACAGCTTACAATGGTTTTGGTGAACCAGACAGCCAAGCAGTTTATGTGAATGTTACTTGTGAGTTATACTGTGCTTTGAAAAAAACTTTAACCCTTTCACTCCCAGAAGTAATTAGTAATTAATATCAACGCATTATCCAGCAAGCCTGTGATGAGAATACTGAAACTTATCAGGAAAAAAAGTTGATATTTTGATGTGATGCTAAATTGTCATAACTAATCAACAAAGAAATCTGTAGCGGCTAGAGGTGAGAATTAACAATCAAGTTTTTGGAGTTGAAGGGTTGACTAACAGTGATTAACAGCAGTGAACTTTCTGTGCATCTTTTAATTGTGTTAATTGTGATGTGTTCTCTTACTTACTTTTATTGATGTTTAGCACACATTCCAAGTACCCAGAGGATTTTGCTCACCTCTCTTATGTGTTAAGAAGCTACAGTGTTTTACTTTCTGTGTCAGTTAATACTTTTAGTTGAGACTGATCGTAAGAAAATTTAATGATGAACATTTTATTAACAAATCTGAGTAAGTCTCAACTCAGATATTTGAAATATCACCTCTGTCAGGTTTTCTGCATGTCAAAGGATATTAGGACTAAAGTTTTAATTTTGAAAAATTTATTGCTTTGACTGATAAATGTTGTTAAAAATTTGAGAAAACCAACTAAACATGCATTCATGAATGGAACGAAGATCACCTCACATAATTGATGCCAAGACCTAGTAGCAATAAAAATCATTGGTCTCAGCCACAGGTACACATGCATACCATGTAGGAGAAGTTTAAATTATATAGTTACATACACTTGTAAGTTGATGCAACTGCAGAACAACAGCTAGACTATAAAAGGTGACAATTGGTGATAATTTATATAAAACAGATTTGGTTATATCTATGCTTTTCTTTTTAACCTGATTATTATTTCCTATTTGATGTGCAGATCCAGCCATGATTGCTGAATTTCAAACTGAGTATTTTGTTGGTGTACAACAAAGTGTAACTCTCACCTGTGAAGCTGAAGGGAACCCTCAACCTACTTACTCTTGGATTCCATGTGACACAGAACAAGTTTGTAACAAGAATACTCTTGTTATTTCACAAGTGCTTGACGATGCCAGCTATACCTGCAGGGTGGTCAATATACATGGACCTGATACAAAAACTGCTGTTGTTTGTAAGTTACATAATGCATTTCTGCATTTACATCTGCAGCTTCATACACATGCACCAATGTTACATTTTGATTGGGTTCTCAAAGTTGAATAAGGGGTCAGGTTGTGTAGCCAAAGTAGTAATCAGTTCATATTTTCCTAAACGCTGCCTTACACCTTATGACGAATAAGTCATGGGCAAAAGAATTCTTGCATTAGGCCTAGGGTGACCTGAAAGAGGAATTGGCCAGTGTTGCTGAAGAGAAGGAGTGTAGATAAATTTGCAGATGTCTTGATTTGAGTCACTCAACTTGCGAGAAGAGAGAGATTTAACATGATTTTGTGTAAATAATGTCTTGAGAATTTGCCTAGGGACTTCTTCAGCTGTCAATATTATAGCTGCTATGGGAGTATAGAGGCTATAGGCAATCAACCAATTAGATTTGGGACAGCTTTTATGCAAATGATGATAATCCTTTTAGTCGTGGGTATGCAAATCATACAAACGACTATTAGAATGGGGCAAAATATGCAAATGTATCACTCACTCAGATGTACACAAATCGATATGTCGATGGCAGATCAATATTGATAGTGTTAATGCTGTCGCATTAGATTAGTACAGCGGCATTAAGTTTAAATTTTGTTACCAGTCTTCACTCGGACAAGTGACACATGTGTTCACTGTTCAAGACAAGGTTGTACCTCGGCCAACCTAAACGAATTCCAGGGCGTTAAATTTGCTTTAAGGATCTTATTGTCAACGGTTTTACCCGTCCTATATAAACGGAAAGACTAACGGAAACGGAGGGCGATGTAACAAAGAACCTAAGGAGTGATTAAAGGTACAAACAATTCTATGAGGCCGAGCGTTTTTAATCTTCAGAACAGTATTTATTACCGATGTCACCGTGATATGTGTACCCCCGTGATATGTGTATCCCCGCACACATATCACTAGTGATAGGTGTACCCCTGGTAGGGATACACAAAACACTGAAGCTTTGCACCCGGGCCTCTTAGAGCTTCAAAGAAAACATGGTGGCTACGAGGAACAAATTTTGTGGTTTTATATTTTAAAGTTTCCGATCCAAAATATAAACGGAAGAACATCACAATGCGACTGAATAACAATACACATATTGACTGCGATTTCCGCGATATGCGTATCCACATTGTATCCACAAGATGTATTGTGGATACACATATCACTGAACGGCGATCGCAGTGATATGTGTATCCCCTGACTAACTCGCTGTCGTCTGTCAATTTGGAATCAATAATACACTTACTAGCCATATATAAGCTTAGCTAGTAATTTGCTGGACAGACAAAAGCGCTTGCTTTACCAAGGGATACACATATTGACTGCGATTGCCGCGATATGCGTATCCACATTGTATCCCCAAGATGTATTGGGGATACACATATCACTGAACGGCGATC